GCATTTGTTTTGGCACTGTACAAGCTGCAATGCGTCGTCATTCAATGAAATGTTAATTTAAAATCGATGGGCATTTTTTTCGCGTGGACGATCAAAGGACAAACCAGAGAGGAGGATTAAAACCAAAAACACTTAGGATATTTTGTCAAAGTACTCAAGTTCTTGAAAGCTTCGCACTTCATAGAGATGTTGTCTTTAGGCAGGTAAATAATATTAAAGTAACAGACTATTGACAATGTTGTTTACATTATGTGTGGGGTGTACGTCTGAAGCGAGTCACGGTATGCTATTTCAAAACAACGCTTGTCGACTTCTTCTATCAAGAAATAATATTATGTTCCATGGACAAAAATCCTGCAATATAACACAAGAAAGGCTGAAATTCAAATCAGAGCAGTTAAAATTCGATTTAAAAGAGAAAATGTTTTGACATCATCTGTGGTATCATTAACAGTACATGCACGTGTACACGGAAAATATAATTATTTCCTCTTTGGGCAGGTTTCAACTTATTGACAACTCCGTAAACAATGCAGATATGGAAAATATTCTACGAAGTAATAAAAATACCACCAGTGCATGTGTGCGTGAAAACGAGTTCAGACTTGTGTCTGAGAGTTATTTTCAGCAGTCCAGCTTGCAAGTTTTGGGCCGAAAAATTAATTATTTAACTCCATAAAAACTCTGATCTAGAACAAATGGGTTTTGAGTCCTAAGTTGATTAGACCATGTCTAGCACCCGGAATTTTAGCTGAATTTCGTCTAGGGTTGACGGATAGTTTTTGCTGATCTTGGCAAAGTTTTTATAGCTCTCTTTATAGCCGAAATCCTTTCACAAATATTTGTACAAGAGTAAATTTCAAGGGCAAGAATGCAGACTCGGCGAGCCTCGCTTTTATGAAATAACTCAGTAAGAGAATAAAGTTGAGAGATTCAAAACATGGCGGCAAGTACTGCACTGAAAAACAAACTGGTTTCTTCATAGAATCCAAGGCGGAAATCTCGCGAAAACCTTTCTATAAAATCGTGAAGTATAAAAGCTCATGGAAATCAAATTTGCTGTTGTTCATGAATTTCGCTACCCTGCTGGCAGAGCCTCTTCTCTATCCAGGAAAGATCGAAGCGGCTCTACTAGAAGGGTAGAATTTTGCAGTTGTATTAAAATTCTTTTCTGTTCCGTTTATAACTGTAGGGATGACCCATTCGAAGTTGATCCCTTACCAAAGTCATTTTACTATCCATCAATGCAATGAGAGTTGTCTGAAGCCGACAGAAAGGTAAGTCTAAGACAACAGCGTGTTCTTCAGGAAATAAATCTTTTCAAAAGATCATGGGCGCGCTAACCTCTCGATCCCGGTACATATGAGTGATGGTACATGTAGCCGAAAATTTTTTGTCAGTTAAATATAAAAAACGTAGATACCGTAGATTTATTGATTTATGCCGGTCACAAAAACATGAGGCATTTACAGTCAAAACAGCTCAAGCGTTCCCGCCAAGGGTGAATGAATGAGTTCATTTTATCGGAAATTTGATTTCATTACTCATTTCAATAGTCCGTTCTTAAAATTGAAGAGTAGAAAATTCAAGACAAGACTCGGGGCGTTTTACATTTACAAAACTCTTCGGAAAATTTCTATTGGGAATTTCCGTTTGGGAAAAGCGCGTTCCATTTGTCACAAGTCCCATTCGTTCACAGGCCCCTCTCTGCCACTTCTCTGAATCTCCCGCGAATATTCAAAATGGAGGCCAATGAGGCCCATCAGATCTTGTTTTTGCGCGAAATGTTAGAAGTCTCTATAGAGGAAGAAAGTTTGATTAATTCAGAAGATGATGCAGTAGATATCTTTTCAGCGGCCTCGACGTTCATGAGACGGAATTTGCAACGAACTGAAGGCTATTTTGAACACGCGTTGCCAGGATATTCACTCGATGAGTTTTAAAGTCATTTTCGAATGACATGAGGCACAATGAAAGGTCTGTGTAGAGTCGTCCAAGCTACAGGAAGAGTGCCACAACGGCAGTCATTTGGAAGACTCACGTGGCAGGCAGAGTACTAGTAGTAGCCCTGAAAGTTTGTTTGCAAAAAGCTTCCAGAAAACTGACCCTGAAAAGCCGCCATTTTTGTTGAAACACGAGGGAGCCGAGGGAAGCCTGGCCGCTTAAGGCGAGGGTACACATGAATTTAAGTGAAATTTTAGGAAGTTTAAAGAGGGATTGAAAGGATAAAAAGGGGTTTGGAACACCACCAGACAGTTGATTGCCCCCAAAAGGGCACCCCGGGTTGGTGGGAACTGTTTGGTGTACGTCTACCAATTTCTAACTTCAAATTCTAATTTTAAAACAACATCAAATCTTCAAAATTTCCTATTTCCATAAATTTTACTAATCCTTTGAGAAAAACTATTTATCCCCAAATATACCCAAAAATCACCAAAAAATTTACAAAACAGCCCAAAACGTAGCTATGTGATATGAGCAGAGAGATTTTTCACTGCTTGAAACGTGAACGAGATATTTACATTCAAACCATAATACCCAGCAAAAATATGGCCTTCATGTTAACCCCCGCCTTAAAAGACCGCGAAAGGCATGGAACTTGTGATATTAAGACGAGAAATCTGTAAATGGAACACAAATTTTCCATTGGGAAGTTTCACCGGGAAAACGGGACTACCTTTTCAGGAATTCCGTTTATTCCGGAAAATTTCCAATGGAACGAACCAAACAGTCTTGTTCATTTACATCCCAACCGGAATTTCCGGAATTTTTTGGTAAATGGAAAAGGCCGTCGATAAAACCCGGAACATGAACATTCCGGAACATCCCGGAACATCGAATAATTATCATAATTATGCGAAAAATATGTAAAATTAAATTTTTAAAACTAAAATAAACAAAAATAAACTGGTATCAGCTTGAAATATGAGAAGATATTATTGGGGATAGGGGAGTCGGTAACAGAGGGGTAGGGAGCGTTGGGTATTCATTCACCTGACCACAATGAGTGCAGGCTCCTCTCCTTTCCCGCCAATTGCGTCACGTCGCTTTTCAGCACTCTGTTTTTCAACACAGACATGGACGATTCTGACGATGAATGCCAGGTAATTCATTGCGTCTCCTTTTTTGATCCCTGAATTCTTCAACATCTGAGGTGTTTGTCTGTGCATCATACAGTTGCTTGTTAAGTCAGTATTCATAGTTTTGTCCCTATTCAATCTTCATGTTGCTATTTATCATCCCTAGTTTTCGCGCCGCTCCGCCAGGAACGCCTGGCACTATGACCCACTAAGTGCAGACTCGGCCTTTCCGGAAGCCCGAGTAACAAGGAAGTTATCATTAATAAACTAGTGGTAATCAAAGATTTATAGAGCAACGCGTTCACGCGCGGTTTGCGCATGTCTGGTTTACTTTGGTGGTGTTCGAATGGCTCGATACAAAACTAAGTTTGATCGAATGTCAGATAACGATCTGCACGTGAAGTTGAACCAGCGATGAACAGATTATAGCCTGCAGTAAAAGTATTTTTAATTAATTAAGAATTAACTTGTGCTGGACAAACATTTTCAAGGAGATGCATTCGAACTGTTGGCGACACTTAAAATTCAATTTCAGATCGCCAACACCTGTAACAAATATTTCTAGAGACAATAAAGTTTTGACCAGCAACCCCGCAAGACAGCGCGCGTGTCGCCAAATGTTTTTAAATTTTGTGTTTGTATTTGTTTACACTGTTATCAGAGGTCGAGCAGTCCAAACTAGTTTAGACAAGAAACTCGATGCCGAAGAGTTTCTATTTCTATCTCATGGAGAAACTATTTTTTCATGAGAAATCGTGTATACCCATATCTTTGTATTGACGCAATGAATTGAATAAAGAAATCACACTCGTGTACCCATACTTTTAGGTCTGATTAAGGAGTTCGAACGCCACCACCTTTCTGTGAAGAACGAAATCTGGGAATAAAGGACAGTCACGTAATTAAACTGACGGTGAACGACTGGAAGGAATTGATTACTCTTCTTAGTTGCTAGCCTTCACTCATTGCAGTCACTTTCACTTTTCTTTCATTTTTCCTTTTTTTATGTTTTTGTTTTGTTTTTATTTTCCGAGCTGATACCAGTTTATTTTTGCTTGATTTGATTTTTTAAAATTAAATTTTACATAGTTTTCGCGTAATTATGATAATTGTTCGATGTTCCGGGATATTCCGGAATGTTCCATGTTCCCGGTTTTATCGACGGCCAATGGAAAACGCTCTCGATCCAATATTCGAGTTTTGATTGGATTAATGAACAATACGCTTATACCATATTTGGAATGCTGAGCACCAGGACTTCTCCCGTAGTGGCGGGAATGATATCAAAGATGGCTGACATCGAAGCAAGTTTTATGGAAGGGGCAGAAAAGGTAGGTTTGCGTCAAGATACCTAACTGTTTTTAAAAAGGTTTGTTTAAAATAAAGTTCATTAATCGAATCAAAATTCAAGTATTGGATCGAGTCTTGTTTTGAATTTTCTACTCTTCACTTGAATAACGGACTATTGAAACGAGTAACGAAATCAAATTTCCTATAATGAACTCATTCATTCACCCTTGGCAGGAACGCTTGAGCTGTTTTGACTGTAACCCATCGTCGCAGGATACCTCAAGATGAAAAGCAAAAGAGAGAAAGTACCCTGAGTCTTTGAAAGTTGCAACTGATCGTAGCGATTTAAATGAAACTTTTACTAGAGATAACACATTTGAAAAAGAATCTTTGATCAATTCCTCCAACTGCGTACAATGCAAGACGCGCGACTATGCGTGCGCCCAGCTTAGTTTCCAAGTCTCCTCGTTCGTCGCGTGACGGATAGCGTGACGGATAGCGTGACGGATAGCGTGACTAAATATTTTTGACAGGAAAAACATAGAGGCATTCAGTGGTATAAATCCGCTTATAATATCTTACCACCCCAGAGTAACCGTTTTACTATAAGGGCGCTTAAAGAGAGCTAAGATAGGAAAAATAACAAGACTTTTTTTTGCCACATTTCCGCGTGGGAGCTCTCTCTGGTTATTCACGTACGGCCAAAAATGCGAAGGTGAAAACGCAAATGATAACATCTTAATGACTCCTTCAAAAAATTAACACCTTGACACAATGGACCACAGATAACTCAAGTTAATTTCTACAATAAAAACGAGATATAAAGACAAATGTTAGCTTCCGCTTTGTATTTACTGAACCATACAGGAGCCCATCTTGTCTAAAGACATAATTGCTGTACATATTTACAGTTAAAAGTCCAGTCTATAATCTCATAATGTGTTCCTATATTTTGTACAAGTATGCAAATCAAAGTTCATCCCTGCTGTCACGGGGTCTTTACACTCTTTACGAAACTGAAAGGAATTAATACATCGGCAAAGGTTCGGATCCTACTTCGCTCTAGCATCATCATGGCTATTTTCTGTATTTGTCGCTCACAGCTCCACACATAAAAATAAATAAAATAAACCCCGGGTATAAATTAAAGTCACGAGGACTCACTTAAGTTTCCTTACGTGAATAATCACAAAATTAAAAAGCAATCAAATGTATGATATTCACATGTATCCGTTGCTGCCTACAGGTTGGATATCTTCACCATGGCGAGGTCACGGGTGTCCAAATTTTGACATCTCGGTAACCAGTGATTTGATAAACACCTCGAAGCCGGAAAATTTCGCGTGATTTCGGCACTAGTCTTGGGATTTTGCAAGCAGCAACTAATCCTTCGTCAATATGCGAATCACTGGAGTTTCTTTGATGGCGTTTTATGATCCTGTAATTGTTCTTCGACCGGGTTCTTCCTAGTTATTTCCTTGTCTCCCGTTTCAGTGACACCACTGCTTTTCGGTTGCCCCTCGTTCTCCTTCGGAGGCTCATTAACTTCAACCCATTCGTATTTCGTTCCTTTTAACGGTTTTCCTTCCTGAAAATCAAAGTCATATTTTTCGTTCATCTCTCGAGCATCCTTATTTAACTCTCTCTGTAAATCGCTCTCTAGTTGTTGATGGTCTGGACGCCCAAAGAGACATTTTCTAGCTTTGCTAGCTCCTGGATTCATCGAAAAACGTTTGATGTGGCTTAAGGATATCGAACCTCCTCTGGATCGAAACGTTTCCTCGCTATGTCGAATTTACCCTTGATACGGGTTTTTATAGACTTTAAAATTCATGAGTGTCTATAACCGCGCCAAAATGAAAGTGTACGTCACTACGTCATCAGCCGGTATACTGCTTATTATGCGTTACGCCTGGGCAAGCTTGAACGTGTTCTCGACCCTTCCTTATAAATGTACTTAAAAATTTACAATGTAAATAATGAAGATGTGAACAAATTTACGTCATGTCTTTAATCCGAATAAAAAGGTGATTTGATTCTGTTGAAAAGTGAAACACTGTGCATGATTTGTTATCTCAATTTCAATCGGCTCTCAAGCGTGAGAAACATGTTGTCCCACGCTTTTGTACAGTTCACTTCACTTTCACTCTTTTGCTGTACTCATAACGATTAAGGTCAGCACACCAGGGAACATACGGGGGGACAAGTCTCCGAAATTAGTCCCTGGGACAAGTCCCACTGTGTTGACTACCCAATCTAATCGCAGCTGACCCAAAATGTGGTCAGTCCCTTGCTGTAAGGGAATTGCCGTAGGGACTAATCCCTGGGACTTCTCCCTTCGTGTTTCAAACCAAAACTGCACTTTAAACAT